ACTCGCCCTGGATCCCTGCGTCCTCGGATTTGGCCACGGAAAAAGGCAGAACCTGCCAAGAGAGACTGATCCTGGCACTCACGGTTGGTGGGACATACACGCGTGTCCTCGGAAGCCGACCGCACAACCCCACAAGCTTGACTTCTTGTCTTCATACTTGACCTTGTACCTCTGAAACTTAGCTCACTTCGGACCCTCGGGCCATGGGTGCCGAGCTGCAAATAATTCAAGTCGCGCGTGCTGGTGGGCGTCAACACAGCCAGCTCCACCTTGCCTCCACTTCTGTGGGGTTCAATACGGGTATGTAAGAGTAGCGTTACATGATATGGGGGTGATGTATAGACATTGTAACATATAGGGAGAATCGAAAAGACAATGGGAACTATCAAGACTAGAACCCCACAAGGCATGCTACCTACCCAGGCCCATCGTGATGGCTGTAGAGGAATTGCACACGTTTGCCCAAAAGCTGCCACTGCCTTGCTCAACAAAGGATCCAGCAGCCACCTGCATGTACAGGCGATAGACCTGTCCACACGCAACAAGTAATTACCGCACGGCGCTCTTGCCTTGTGAAAACACTGATCAGGGTAGCAGCGAGCAGGCGTTTGATTAGCACATATTCGCCTTGTTGGTAGTGCTGAGATGTGAGGCAAAACTGCGTACACATGCGTGCTCCGTCACATTGCTCCGTGAGCATGTGCATGGAATGGCATGCGTAAACAGCGGTGGAGCTGATGCTGTCACGGTCCCTTTACATTTTTCAGAGCCGCCCTCGTCCCTGCAACGGCCTCCTGGCTCGTTGACTGCTTTGAGGACATACCCTTTACCAGGAGCCACCAGTCACCTCGATTCTGGCCGCAGGAGGTGGACTAATTCGAGCTGCTGAGTGGAACCCGAAGGTCCAATGATATGCCCATCCCAGACTCATGGCTCCTTCGATGCGTTCTCCACAACTTTCAAGCAGCGGCAACTGCTGTGCACGAAGCTTTCATTGGGGGGTCTGCAGGAATGTTCCGCATGTGCTGAGTGCAATAGTAAAGCCTTCAAACTGTGCATGCGGCGGTGAACTTTGGCACTATGACAGGGCCACCAGGGCACTGTCTGTCATCTGCTCTTTTGGCCTGCAAGTCCCAGGATCGTTGATGAACCTCAGCATTTAAAGCCGTTGGTACACATGGCGGGCTCAAGTTCGACAGGCAGCCGCAAGACGCGCTGGTAGCTTTAGCGTACTTTGCTCTGCACTTGCGGTCCGCGATGCCGGGGCCCTGAACCCTTAATAGCAGTCTTGGCAAGCTTTGAGTGGAAGCTGACTGTGCCCAGGTGCAGCTGCACAGCAGCGTTCATGGCCTGTCGGTTGCGAGGGCGCAGCATGTGCAAGGCGGCTTCATGCGGGCATGCAGCTATTGCATGATGCGCACGGTTGAGGAGAAACCAGCCCAAGAATGCTCAACCTCTCCCTTTGCGGCGAGCTGCTACAGCGAGAGGGTCTGTGCTGTCGGACATGTTCGGCGCCGCAGACTGAGCCTGTGTCTAAAGACAGCAGCACCCACAACAGGAGCAGCATATGCTCGCGACATCCAGTACTGCAGCCCGAAACTAGGACCGACATCCCAGCTTGATTGATATGTCTCTATTTTTGACGCTCACACTCGGCAAAACCAGGTGAGGTCTGTAGACGATCAGAGCCTGGTAGAGCTCTGGCCATGAGCCATGAACCCTACGACCGCACATTGACCACATGAAATCTGACGAGAAGCCAAAGCAACAGTATTGGTCAGATCCGCGCTGAGCATGTCTTGCACAGGCCCTCGGATCGCTTCCTCCACAAGGCCGCAATAAATTCGACTCGGGATGATGGGATTTGCAGCTCGATACTCCTACGCAAATGTCCAAGGAGGGTGAAATCCCAACTCATAGAAGGCCCAGGCTCAGGAAGATCATCGACGCGGAAACCATCTACAGGTTTCAGTCCCTCTACGGCCTACGGCTTGAAGAAGGATTGTCAGATGCCGTGGTGTCCCTTCGCGGGAAAGGCACCAGAGTCTGGGAGATCCTTCAGAGCTGGATAGGCTTTTTCGCCGCAATGCTTTCGGCAGTACTTCGGCAGTCTCATGGCTCGCGCAGGGTGTCTCACGACCAGAATTTTCTGCCGGACTGGCATGCCCGCATCTGGCATGTCTGCGTGTTTCGAACTTAACCCTGACTAAGACAGCACAGATTCAATTCTCAAAGTGTAGCAAGCACATGGGAGCTTGAAATTGCATTGCGAGGCAGTACTTCAAGGGTGATCTTTCATCTTGAGGTTCGGATGCAAACATTAAAACACTGGATCGTAACAGTGTAGTGCAACAGCCCCGTGAGGTCAGGTGCATCGAATGCATGGACCAGGCTTTTGGCTTTGCTCAATGCTTTAGCTCTGGAGACAGCAACGCATGAACAGGTGAAGCTCATCAGCTTGGTTTTCGGAGCTTATATATGTAGCCATGTATTGTTCTTGTTGTTGGGCGTGACACGTGCCCGGCACTTACCGCTTCTGAACATACAAGCCGTTCGAAAGCATGCCAACACAAAGCTGAAGTCCGAACCCCAATACCCACCTCATAGTAGAAGGTGACGTCCCGCATCTGATGCAAGGTGCAAAGCCTTCAGGCTTGGGTTGTGCAATCTTTGGCCCGAACACCCCCTGCTGGGACCACAAGTTTGCTCCAAGGGCCCGTGGCCTCATGTGGCACATTGAAACCATCTTTTTCCCTCCTAAACTAGCCAAGAGCAGAGATTCGAGCACGAAGGGCCTCGTGAGCCTTGGAATGGAAGCCCACTCTGCTCCGAGGATGATGGCATTGTGGCTGTCTTCGAAAAGCTTCTTGTCACCTTGCCATGGCACTTACACGAAAGCGCTCCGGTTTCAAGACAGACTCACCTGGCAGCTAGGAAAGCATGATCGCATGAGGGGATTTGCAGTCGATGTCGAACCGCTACGCACACTCATCTGGAGTGCTTCTGCGCGGGCTGCGACATGCGGTCCAGCCACGGCACCGGCAGAATAACAAGTTAGCCGAACACGTGCTGAAAGTTTCGGTGCCAAGGCCACAGATGGATCGTACTTTCTGACATGGAGGGATTCACCGCACATGATATGAGATTGTCACATCTGCCGCAAAGCTGCGTGCCAGCTCTTGCAGGCTCTCGGTGATGCCGACACTGAGGGCAATGAAAAGAACCTTATGCAACGATCAGAGGTGCAAACGTTTACAGCGACCAGAGTCCTTGGTTCTGAAAAGGTTCACACCTGCAGCAACTTGAATATCCAACTTCCCACACATGCTTCTTGAGGAATCCACTCTGACCAGTAACATGCTTCAGAAGCATCTGGAGAATGGTGCGCTGCCGACCAGCGATGTTCACCAGCAGCCCGGCAGTCTCTGCGCCTCCAGCTGCTGCTGCCTCCACAAACACTCTCCCCCGTTATACCGCTTGAAGCTTGCTGGATGTCAGTAGGACATGACGCCCCCGATTGATTCAATTCCAGACATAGTGCTTTTCTTTTCTTTTCCATCCCTTCATTCCCTACTAGCAACCAGCAACGCGAAAACCAACTTAAATAAAATTCGATCTCGATCTAGTTGTTCGGTCTTGACCTGCCTTGGACCTTCCAATAACACAATTGAATCAGGTTTCAATTGCTTGCCTATGAGTTTGTCCAATAAAGTTCAATCACGATGTAACTGTCTCGCTGCATACTAGCAGAGCCTGCTTAGAGACCCGTGCCAATTCGCTACCAAGATACCCCATTAAATCATGATTTAATTGGAGGGTTTGGCGGCCTCGTGGATGAACACCAGTAATGTATTTGGTCCCTATCAGGTTCGAAGCGAAGCGTTTCGAAACAAGTATAGTTACAATGACTGGTCGCAAACAGCACTTGAAATATGATTTGATTGTGCGTAGGGATAGCAATCTCCGAACATTCCGTGGGGATCTTCTTCAGTTCAAGTCGGGCTAGAACAAGCATCGGTTGCCATGCAAGATTATGTTGATTCTTGAACTGGGTTGCACGGTTCTACTTCCTTGCGACGACTTTACGTTCTAGTTGAGGATTTTCAAGGCAAGCAATTACATCAGGATGGAATGGGGGTCTTGGGAGGCATATCCGAACAAACCGTGGGGATCTTCTTTGACACACCGGAGCAGCAGATTTGGATGGAACGCGAGCATGGCACACGACCCCATTACCATCATTATTTGCCTGGTGATGTTGGGAGCCATGGCCAGAAAAACTGACGATCTCTGAAAAGGAAAAATGCATAAATGAATCAAAATATGCTCTCGTCATATGATAAGAATGTAAACGAAAGAGTGAAATATGCAAAAGTATGAAGAGAAGAATGTGTTGCTACGAAAGTGAAACATTTCCAAATACACCCGGTAATTTAAAACATGAAGAAACACACGTCAGAAACAAGCAAAGCACCCAATAATACGAACAATACAGGAAAAGGTGAAATCCAAAAACATTGAATGCAAAGAAATGAAATCACACCACGAACCATCATCACCGCCCAAAACAAGCACAAACGCAATAAACCTACAATAAGCTTCTTCTTGCTTGATTCAGATAGAACTCGAGTAAGAATCAGTTGTCTGTGAACGAGCTATCCAGTTTCGTCTCGCCTAGTCTGGTTTAGTCTAGTCTAGTCCAGTCTCATAACCATTATATCCCGATTTAGTTGCTGTCCGGCTTGCGGGTGCCCTCGGAGAAACAATCAAATTTGATTTCCTTGCGCCAATTGGGTAGCAGGCGCGACATGGAGTAGAGCGTCGCGCAACGTTCAAGAGCCAATTAAATCATAAGTTCGTTGTGCTGAGCTTCAGGGGTCCAAGACGGCGCGATGCCGGGCAATTAACTCCAGTGTTAAGTTTTTTGGACTCTTGGATTCACTGCCTCCCCAGCAACACCATTGCCATTCAAGCAGCTTTAAGTGTGAAGCCCACCGCTTTCAGGAACCAGCCTCCACAAAAAAGTCGACAACCGCCATGGAGACTTCGAGCAATGCGGCAGTTTGCTGCTGTATTGCCTGGGCGGACCAGATGCTACGACTTCAGGGCTCGTGCCTGGATGTGGTAGTTGATCATAACTCCTGTTCCTAGAATGGCCACCACGGAAAATAATTTTCCCCCTATGTTTGTCGTCACAGACCAGCAGGAGCTTTAAACGATTTCCCCAGAGTGTGGAGGACCCTTAGATCAACCCCCACGTCTTGCAACAGAAGCTGCATAGAGCACAACTGCACCGGGTGAGGCCGTGTTTGCCACGAGTAGAGAAGACAGGGATGTGAAGGTTGGCATGACACGTTCCTGCAGGTAGCTCAGCACGTCCGTTGTCGGAGCTGCGATTATCTGCCTGCTGCTGTTTCCAGCCGTCAGATCCTGCACTGTGACTCCGTAGTTGTAGATGGTAGTCAGCATCTTCTGCCTGTTCTCCTCCGGATTGATGCCCAAGACGACGAGCAAACACTCAATGGTCATCCTTTGGGACAGTGTTCGCTGGAGTCCCGCTGCGTTGATTGTCTTGCTCCATTCTTCAGCTGAGGGAGCATTGCCAACAATCACACCTTCCTCGCAGATCACGCTGCGATTGCAGCTTACCTTAAAAGCATCTGCATGAAATCATTGCCGAAAAGAGGTACTGTAATCTAGTTAGTTACTTTACTGAACTGTTGCGCTGAGTGTTTTTGACAAGTCTCGCAGACCCCAGCTTCGAAGCGCTGCCCAAACTGACATTTCACGCATTGCTCTTCCCAGTAAAAGCCTGGGTTCAGCATGCAAGTACCAAACGAGTTACGGCCCTTTTCAGATAAGGTTACACGATGGACCCTACAGACATAAGGGACTCCAAGAAGATTGCGGATTGCGAGTGCGACGATCAGAGATTCCGAGAGTGGGATTCTGAGCTCCCAAATGCAGATGCCAGGGAGCAAAGCAAGTAGAGCAAGTTGAGTTTCGACAAAGCAAACCCACATCCCATGGGCAGGAAGCATCCCTGAACAGATGCCACCACATGAACCCACGACGCTTCTGCATGCAAAGTCATGGTGTGGGAGTAGCGGAACAAGGAGCCATCGCACTGGCACATGCTGAGCTCGACGGCACCCTGTAGGTCAGAATCATGCAGCGCAGCAACAACAATCTTTGCACAGACTGGTGAATCACATGCTTCGAGTTGTCACATGTGGCCCAAATCCCTCAGCAAAGGTGCTCGAAGCTGCATGCGGGTTTCCCAAAATTAGGGGGGACCGTGTTGTGGGTGGCCGGTAAAAAGGATTGTAACATTAGGGTATATGTTGGGGTCCTTCTTTTTATGGAAAATACCACATGAAAACAAGCTGCACAGTGCCTCAAAGTTCGTACTCAGCCCTGGCGGGCAAGGTGTGCACGTCGGCTGACCTGCTTGACTCATCGAGAAATCTTCTTATCGGGTGTTTGGAAAGGCATATAATATATGTAGGGAAATCATGGGAACTATGTTCGTCTATTCCCTGCTAGCCACTAGTAGGTCTTGGATATGGGGGTTTCCTCGCAGGGCCCTCAATCCAAGGACTGAATTTAAGTCTGCAGGGTTGACGGGTTGGAGGCTCCCACATGCGTGTCATGAGAGAATTCACTAGCTTGTATACTCAGCAAGACATGCAGTGTTTGGATCTCCAGGTCTTTTGATTCACCCCCTTTCCATATTCTCATGCTCTACCCACAGGGACCTGGCAACTCCGCATAGGATCCACGAGGGCACTTCGTGCAAATCGACCCGCCAGGGGACGCACTGAATTGACCTGAAAGCAGCCATGCAGGAGAGATGTTGCAGTAATCCAGTGGCAGCACATGCGAACATGCACATTTCCAGCAAACCCTGCCATTCCCCCACAGCTTGGAATACAGAACAAACAGAGCAGACTTACTGAAGTGAAAAGCGAGGCAACCAGTCAAACCACAAAGCAACGTACAGGCAGGGAAAGCTCATAAAGAGTGAATGCAAGTAGCCTTGGGCGAGGAAACAATTGAAACTGAGCAACGCTGATCAAGCCATATGCTTTCAAAATCATAGACCATCAAGATGCACCAAGGCTGGCATTTTTCTCTCCAGGACAGCCCGTGCTGCCCCGGGCAGGGTGGAACTCTTCGAAATATCGAGAAATCGAGCTTGAGAGGACCGAAAGGTCGGCGGGGTCAAGTTCGAATTCGACGTCCAAATGAGACTCGGAGGGATTCGGGGAGCGGGAAGGGGTTGGTTCGGGTTCGACTTCGAGCTCGACGTCCAACAACAAGCACCCTTTCCTCTGAGTTAGTTTGAGCTCGATATGCCCGATGTCCGCGAGGTCGGAGAGGGGAGGAGCGTGGGTGGTTCGAGTTCAAGTTCGAGGTCCGAAACTGGCAGACAGATTCCAGAGACAGATTGAATGCTTAGAAATCATTCGGTTCTCAAAATTCAAATTGTTTCGACAATGAACCTACTGAGGCTTAGTTTTTTGAGAGCACGAACCTCGACCAATAATTGGAATTCGCTTGTTTGTCTTTCAAGAACCTATTGATTTCAAGATATCGGCTACTCAATGGCAATGCCAAATCCATAAAACCAATAACCGGAGCAGTCGATTTTCAAGAAACCGATCGGTTTCTACAAAGGCAAGCGGCTACCAAGCTGCGACACCTCCAAACCGACACTGCTACCCCTATTCCTGGGCCAGAACCTAAACTGCTTCCCCTAGTCCTAGCGACACAGGAAACCACTGCTTGTCAAACAGGAAGCAAACTGCTTCCCAGAAAGGGTAGCAGTTTGACCGATGTTCCAAACAAATAGACTAAAAGCTGATCTGCCCGAATTCTGAAATTAGATTGATTTTCTCGGACGGATTGTCGAATTGGTTAAATTATAGGGGCTTGGAAATCGATGGAAGTCTAACCCCCGCGGCGGTGGAAATCGGCAAAACTTGAATTGCAATTTTCGACCATTTTCTGGCGAAGACAATCATTTCGAAAACATAAGAACTTGTCTAACCAAGTCTAGCGATGTCCGAAAGGTCAGAGATGGGTCGAGCATGAACCTGTATCACGACAAGTGGTGAATGCGGAGTAGGCGGAGTTGGCCTCTTTTGAATGTTGGTTTGGCTTGTCGATGTCCTGCGTTCCCCTCCATTTCTGCTCCCGAGTGACATTACAGCGTTTTGACTTACAAACGTTTCGCCTTACAAACAATCACTGATAATGTGTTTTTTCTGCCTTCTTGGCGCTTGCTCCGGTGCCCTGCGTCGCTCTCGTATCATGCTTTTTCTCGTGGTCGGCTTGGTCTTACTTTCGCTCCAGGTTATCTCACCTGCACTTGCCTTCCGTCACTTGTGCCGCAGTGACTCTTGTGATTTTCTCCTCGCGCTTCGTTACTTCGAGCTGCCCGAGACCTACCATAGACAGGCGCCCAAGTATTGTCAATCAACATCTCTTCCGCATTATGTCGCACTGTGACCGCAGGAAGTCCTTAACTGATTCGGGCACCAGAGCCTGCACCCGCAATTCAAACCAGCAACGTCTGAATTATCTACTTCGAACATCCCGTCCTTCGGGACACTGGGCGAGTTGGATATTCTACGGCTGGGGTGACGAGAACACAGAATTCAACATTTATCAACCAACGGAAGAAACTTTCCTGGCTCTCCACCATCCGCCTGTTGGACAATCCGCGCAGGAGGAGGCCCTGGCGACCGACGAGTAGCGTCCAGCCGAGCACAGCCTGGTAGGACAAGGTGAGAGGTCCCGCCACCACTCAAATCTAGAATCTAGAAGCATGGCTGCCAAATCAGGGCTTGAGCCCTCACTTCGGGCTTAGGTTATCAGACTGGAATTGTGTGCACTCTGAGTTCTGGCCCAGTAACTGGCAGCTTGCAGATCCTGTAGCATTGGCAAACGAGCCAATGCTGCAAGGCTCGCACTGGACCATCTGGCTGGAAGCAAACCTTCCAAAATGCCAGAATGCGCGCGAGCACAACACAAAACAACCTTTGATCCAAGGCACTCCCCCTGTGGACACTCTGAGCAGCCCTGCTCATTGATCCAAACCCTGCCATCTGGACAGCTGCTGCTGCGATCTGCCGGCCGAAAGCCATTGACGAGGTCACAAGTGCCACTGCTACAGCTGATGCGGTGGGCTGAGTCGGGACTCCATACCACATCCGTTTGGAAGAGGATGCCCGTCTCTGTCCGGTAAGCCAAGTGGTTGAAGGTGTTTTCAGGAGGCCCCCCTGCTTGGCGAAGCAGGATGACCCCATCTCGATCTCCCTCTAAATCTGGGCTGCTGAACTGCCGCACGCGTCCAGTGGTGCCCGCGAAATCCACCTGAAGCGAAAGGGCCTCCAGAGCCTGCCGGGCAGCAGGCGTAGCCAGGTCGGCGACCGACCTGCTTGACAAGTAGGAATTTCAAAAAAGCGCCCAATCGCATTCAATTTATCTCTAGGACTCTAGGCTGCTGACAAGGCATACTTCCCTTGCTGGCAGCTGTGTTTTCCCAGCCTGTTCCCATCCGCCAAGTAGGCGTGAAGGATGCTGGCAATCAGCCAGACGCCGTCGTAGAAATATCCGGCCCACTGATGATTGCAAACCCCTGTCCCATTCCCAAAGCTCAAGCACTCCTCTGTGTAATTGCCGTAAATGTCCGCAAAGCTGCGACCGGACAGGCCATGTACATCTTGTGTGTTCAACATGGGCCCGCGATCAGCTGCAATGACCCCATATGCAGCACGGTGCAGCTCTGTGACCGTGCAGGGGCAGTCGCTTGCGCCTGACCTCTCTAAGATGAAGCCAGGGTTCCACCATCCGGAAACAACCATGAAGCTATAGGATGGTGAAAGAAGCTTTCGCCCGTAGGTCTGGCACAAAAACATCGCCCCCTCGGTCTGGTACAACGCCACGATGTTTATTCGGGAGTCCTTCCGCTCTATCTCCTCAGCGGCACTCTGGGCATCGGCAATGTTGCCTGCGGCCGTGATCTGCACCGTGAACAACACTGTCCAGTTGTAACGGCCTTCCGCCACGTCGACTCGCATGAGTCCGGTAAGGTAATCTACACCGAGTGTGTTAATGCTCCGATATCCGACAACAATCCCGACTCGCTGAAAGCCCATGAGCTTGGTGAACCTAAGCTGGGCTGAAGTGAAACTTGCCAGGCTTGTATGGGATCTTGCAGGTGCAAGACACCGAATCACAACAACCCTCCCTCTTACAAAACTTCGAGGCTCACTTCAAAGGCACTCGTAGAGCGTCTGGACATTGAAGCGGTATGACGGAGCCATGCGAGTGAAGTACGGATACCGCGCAGAGTCACTCAGGCTTTCCGAGATACATCCGGGAGAGACCTGCCACAACCCTTTGAGTTTGGGCTTCAGCACCTGCATACTGTAGCGGAAACTTTCGGGTTAAGACATATTTGCGATTACAGCGTACATGCTGACGCACGAAGTGCAGGGCACCCATGGTTTGAAATCCGGCTTGTTTGGGTTTGCTGCCTGCAGGACATTGAAGAACTGAGTGGCGTCATTCATGGCCTCGCATGCTGCGCTGCAGGAGTCAGCCAGAAGGGCGTGCTTCGTGGGGCTTCTTGCCAGGGCCTCTATTGTCGACTGCGTGGCACCTGGCACTGAGCACTTGGAGTCACCCAGAAAAAGGTTCATCCGAAATCCGGGTAGAAAGTTGCTGTTCTCCACATCCTGCGCTGCCGCTGCAATCGCAGGCTCAACCATGGTCATCAGCTCCCCTAGGCCGCCACTGTATGGGCTAATCACCGCAACATTAACGTCTGCGGCACCAGCCCGTGCAGGGTTAGCCGCCACTGTCACCTGGGGATCTCGCAACACAGGACTACCCTGAACATGAAAAGGAATTGCAGAAGGATGTGGGGTCCGGGCTACTCTCACCAATGTATGGGGAACATGTTGAGCACCACCCACCTGACATCCGTTGCTATGATAGCGGCAAGGCCAGGCAGCGTTGTTGGAGGTTGCCGTGCAAAGCGCGGGGCAGGTTGCACGAGCCACCAAGGCCGAGCTTACAAGCAGGATGCAGAGCCGCTTCACGGCCATGGCTGCAAAAATTCTTAAACTTCGACTCTACCTAAACCCCAACTAAAGATATAATCAATAAGCGGAAATGAAAATGGAGAATGAAATGCAAGCTGGGCTTGCAGTGGAGCTGACCAACCGAAGCTAGCTTTACATTGAAATGTGAAGTAAAATGGAGACTTGATTTACGTGGAAGCTGAGAGTGCAATAAAACACGCAGAGTCGCACAATCGTGCCTGGGGTTTTGCCGAGCTATATTTGAGCTGCGAACGATGAGAGTGCGAGGCGTTGCAACATCCGAAGAATGAGCAATCTCCATTCCGACATGTTGCAACACGTGGTAGACGGCGAAATCCAAGTGATGTTTGACAGCCCTCCCAGGATGCACAAGCTCGTAGCCTCAATACGGTGGAAGTGGCCGATGCGTCAGCTCTTGCCTCTTTGCATGCCGCCAAAATGACTCAGCATGAAATCATTCATAAGAGCAGCCACCCTTCTGCTACCTGCTTCACCGTCTGAGACTTGCAGTCAGCAGCTAATATCAAAGGGTCGATGCGCTGAGATACAACCATCTAAGTGGGGAGAGTCACATCTGGCGTTTCAGGACTAGCTATACTCCAGGCGCGCAGTCAACGTGAGAGGGCCAATCCAATATGTCCTCACGCATCGAGTGACCAGAAACCATATAACTAAGTTCCTTAACAGCAACCCAGTCTATGAAGGAATGGGTTGCTTTTGAGCAAGCGCAGCGGCAAGAGCCCTTGCTGCAGACATACATCTTGATCAGGATTTGACGATGAGCCCGCATCAGAACTTTCGACTGGAAACGAATCAGCATCGCGTGTCTTGGGGTTGTGACATATTTTCCTTCCTCAACCTGACACCGTCCTCCATGCAGCTGGACCTTGGCAGAATCATCCGCCTCAGCCCCAGAATGCTCGACAATCAAGTGGTCCCCACGATGAGACAAGGGACGATGCTCCCAAGACGAAGGGAACCAAAAACTGACACTCTTGATTTCTGATGCAAGCGGACGAAATATTTGAGATTGATCTGCCAGGCCGGCGGACGCATCATCCTCCAGGGGCGACTTCCTCGACTCCACGATCGACAGCCGAAGAGCGAAAGTAAGCCTCCGGACTACGGTGATAATTGCAGCATCAGCGGTGTCAGAATCCAGCTTTAACCCGGCCTGGTGCGCTGCAGCACATCGCACCTTGGACAGTTCTGGCAGCTCTGGCACTGCCGCCGCAAGACCATGATGCTTTCTGTGATCTGTCAAGGTCAGGCAAGGTCAAGGTAGTTCGAAAAACATGAGGCTTCTCGCCGTCTGCATCCCGAACACTTTACCGGGATTTCAGCTTCCTTGCCATTTCTGCAACCCGAACACCAGACCGAAGATCAGGAACCCCCGACCCCTTTCAGATGCCAGCAGTACGTTTTGGTCTCGTATGCATGCAGACATGTCTGGAGTCTGGGAAGTTTACACCCAGAAGCCGCTGCTCCCACCGCGTGTGCGAATATATATATATATATATATATATGTATACACACACATACATACATGCATGCATGCATACATATAGCTTGTGTGCGGAAAGAACCGAGCAGGACAGGAGTTCGACTGCGTAAATAAACTGGAGCAGACCAGAACCGAGGACACACAGGCGTCCGATGGCGTGACAAAAACGCAAATCGGAGCAAACAAGAACCTAAGACACGGGAGTCCGACCACGTGAGACACAGCAAACGGAAGGACGCGGGAGTCCGACCGCATCAGACATGCTACAACCTGACGTGTAGACATCATCGCCATGGAGAGTCTAAGTCTAAGCCTCACACAAGCTGTGCAAGCAAGTGGAAACTCCAGAAGCCATGTGTTGAGGTGCTGCCTGCTGAATCCACGCAGCGTGTTGATCTTGTGGCTGAAAAATAACATTCCGTTGGGGGGTGTCTGCCGCCTTTCCTCAAGACTTTGAGTACATTCGGAAACTGCCTCTGCTGCACTGCTGATCACTACTGTCTCCTTTATGCGCCACTTGCGATTTTAATCTTAGAATATCACTCGCGCCTTGGACTTCTATCTTGCAGTCGTTGTTGCAAGTCCTGTGGGGGGCGGATTCGTACAATGGTTACGAAAAGTGCGTGTGTGAAAGCTTGGGCCGAGTCCACGCGAAAGGAGGGGGCACCCTTGAGGCATGCGCCCGCTATGAGCCGTGATAGTTCAGGGAGCTTCCAGGCGTGGCAAAGGTCAAAACCACGGAATGCCTCCCGAGTTTGAGGTTCTTAGTCCACTCCCTTGCAATTCCGCAGCACAACTTGCATTTGGGATCGATTTACTGGATGCAGAAGAACCCGCCGTCCTCGCAAACAACATGCAACACCGCCGAAAACCGGGGGTTTGAAGCCTTCAGGTGCGCCAAGTAAGAACCCTACTGTGGCCCAAGACTCGAAAATCCCAGCAGCCCTCGACGCCGGGTATATCGGGGAAGCATGATCTTAGTGGCCTGCTTAGAGTCTGGAGATTAATGCGACGGGTGCAGCCGACAATATAGCCCGCAGCAAACCACCTTGTCCATGAGCAGGTCTTCCTCGATTTGGCTTCAACGGTTTCTTGTCTCGGCTCTCCGCGCGGGACTGTACCGACCGCCGCGAATAATTAAAGGTTGTCTTGAAAGACCTGCAGTGTCCCTTCGGGTCACCGAAAGACTTCAGCGCCCTGTCCGAGACCAAAATCTTCCACTCCAAAACCAGAGAGCCCGACGAATTAGCGAAACGTCGACCTATGCACCCCCAAAGCCCTGGCCCTGCAGCGGCAGGAAACCGCATCAATGAAACTTGAAATCTCCACTCACTGGCCGAAGCGGTTCTTGAAGCGGGAGGCCTCAGTGATGCTTTGGCAGCTGTGCTACCTGCTGCATCTTAGTCCCTGGCGCTCGATTGTCTTCGTCACAGAAGCCTTTGGCCTTGAGGCCTGACATCTCCCGGTTGAGCGCCGGGCGAAGCTGTCGGCCTGCAGGGTTCAGTGCTGCAGTCGACCCTTATAACTCACCAAGCAGCAATGACATTTGGCAGCATCCCCTTCTATCATTGCTCGCTCACATCTCTGCTGTCGTACTCTTCGTCTTGTGCCGACCACGCATGGTGGGTCTTGCCGAGCGCAGTCGACGATGGGCCGGCGGAGGAAAAGCAGGGGGGCTTGGGTTCCTGACGTTTTCTGCTTCGCTGTGGCATTCGCGGCCTGCCTCATGGTTGGACGGAAAAGGCGCTTCTTGCTGCTGGCGGCTGTTTGTCTATGTTTCTGGGCTATTATCTTTCTTGCAGTTCTGCATTGCCCCCCCTTGAAGCACGATGTGTGCGAGATGGTACAATGAGCATGCCTGCGTTAGTAGAACTGAGAACAGGCATCACAGCAGGATCAGGCAGACATACACGAAAGACGAAGATGGTGTCGGCCACTTGTCTATCGATCTGTCTCCTCCGAAATGTCAAGCATGATTCCGGAAATTCAACTGCAAAACGGAAACGGCTAACAAATGGGTGTTGCAGATCCGGTGCGCGCCTCCGGCACCTGGAAGTCTTTTCACATCCTCCTGCAGCAGGAGCTGTTGGAAGGGTTTGGGGGTCAGGATAAGTCTGCGGCAGTTTTGCCCGAACCCCCCCAAACCTGTCAGGGTTGAGGGATGTCTAGGACTTAAAGCACCAGCCATGTGCTTCGACACTCTGCACTACGTCTGTAGCCGAGAGTGACAGTTGAATGGTCATCCGGCGCCTCGATCCGGACGGTAAGTTGAAGACCTGGGTACTGGAATGCTTCTGGCTTTGGTTTTGGATCTGGGGCCGTCGTCTTAAATCTTGCTTCCCTCAACAAGACGGGGTCATGAAATGTATTTAACTTGCAGGACAAGGGAAATTACAAGACAACGACCATTTCCAGGTCAGGTATTGGGTAGAACTCAGTAGCGCTCAAACCCGGCAGGACCTTCCACTTCCACCTCGACCATCAACGCCTGGGCCCGAACCTTCTTTGAGCCAAGCTTGCAAGACAATCGGCTTCATATTGCAGTCCTCAGTCCTCAGTACTTCCAGCCTGGGCCACTAGGCCATGGCACCTACAAGAAATGAGGACGTACGCTTGCCTTGAGCCCAAAACGCTCATGTCAGTCACGCGAGCCTGAGGCTGTAGCTCTTGAGCTGCATGCTGCCCGGCACCGGTCGAAGCACCCGCACGCTCCTTGTCGACGGCTTCTTTGAGTGACTAGAGTCAGCTGGAGCTCTACAGCTGCTGGATCGGGGAGGACTTCTGAAGTTCAAGGGGTTGTGAAGTGTTGAACGTTCTTTCAGCTCCACCATTCCGGAGGCCCTGGACGCATGTACATACGTATGCCTAGATTTCCGTACGTACGTACAGAGGAAGAGAAACAGGAGAGAGCGACAGAGAGAGAGAGAGAGAGACAGACATTGCCAGCAAATGTCAGAAAGGGTATGTTGCAGTCAAGTGCAGTCGGTGAATCAAAGATGTGTTGATATGACCTGAGCATGTCGTTATATCCAAAGGCATTGGCGGTGAGGATGAGGCCTATCACCATTGCGAGAACGACTGTGCACGCTAGGCTTCCCGACAAAGGCGCACCGGGTGGCCGCTGTGAGAGGATCCGCCAGAGATCGTCCATGGAGCCCGTGTGCCTCAACACATGGCCCTTCAGGGTCATGAGCATCGGGCTTAGGAATCTTTAGGACTTTGGGGTCTGTGCTTTGGGGCTTTCGGGGGGACAGGGTGTTGGAAGGCTTGGTGGAGTCACGAATTTCGACGCTCGCTGCTCCCACTAGGCACGGCGGCTACACAGGCCGTCACAGGCCTGGGCCGATTGCTCAAGCTATGCCCAGGGCAAGTATCAGGAAATTCAAGCTAGGACTTTGGATACCTTATTCCGGAGGTCACGGCTTTCAGTATCCCGCTAGATTAAGGCATCATAGACTATTTGAAGTCTCAGCCCCTCTTTGCCGGACAAGTCACTGGT